TTTTGAATAAACAAAGGACATGCTGGCACTCTAAGTTGATGCAAACAAAATTTTGTATTCATTCTGTTCCAATATTGCTGTCATTTGTATTATACTATCCATCCTTACATGAATATATTACTGATTTACTATGCGACTATAAGTTTACATAATAAAGTGCAAATATGGTCAGTTTTGGTTGATGTGGACAAATAATTGTGTTATACAAGTCATTCTGAGATATCAAAACTACTGAAATTTGTTTACGATCCAATATTGTGAATAAAAAGAGGACATTATGGTATTCTAATTGATGCAGAAATTTTTTTTTAGTCAGTGTGTTCCAATATTGCTGTCATTTGTATTATATAGTCCTTCCTAACATAAAAATATTACTGATTTACTATGCGGCTATATAGATTTACATAATAACGAGCAAATATGGTCAGTTTTGGTTGATGCAGACAAATAATTTTGTTATACCAGGCATCCTGAGGTATCAAAACTACTGAAATTTGTTCACGATTCAATATTTCAAATAAAAAGAGGACATGTATGTACTTTTAATAGATGCAGATTTTTTTTTTGTAGTTATTGTGTTCCAATATTGCTGTCACCTTTATTTTACAATCTGTCCTGACAAAAAAATATTACTGATTTACTATGCGACTATAAGATTTACATTACAAAGTTCAAATATGGTCTTTTTTTTTATGCGGACAGATAATTTTGTTATATGAGTCAGTCTGAGGTATGAAAACTACTGATATTTGGTTTTACGATTCAATATTTTGAATAAACAAAGGACATGCTGGCACGCCTAAGTTGATGCAAACAAAATTTTGTATTCATTCTGTTCCAATATTGCTGTCATTTGTATTATACTATCCATCCTTACATGAATATATTACTGATTTACTATGCGACTATAAGTTTACATAATAAAGTGCAAATATGGTCAGTTTTGGTTGATGTGGACAAATAATTTTGTTATACAAGTCATTCTGAGATATCAAAACTACTGAAATTTGTTTACGATCCAATATTTTGAATAAAAAGAGGACATTATGGTATTCTAATTGATGCAGAAATTTTTTTTTAGTCAGTGTGTTCCAATATTGCTGTCATTTGTATTATATAGTCCTTCCTAACATAAAAATATTACTGATTTACTATGCGGCTATATAGATTTACATAATAACGAGCAAATATGGTCAGTTTTGGTTGATGCAGACAAATAATTTTGTTATACCAGGCATCCTGAGGTATCAAAACTACTGAAATTTGTTCACGATTCAATATTTCAAATAAAAAGAGGACATGTATGTACTTTTAATAGATGCAGATTTTTTTTTTGTAGTTATTGTGTTCCAATATTGCTGTCACCTTTATTTTACAATCTGTCCTGACAAAAAAATATTACTGATTTACTATGCGACTATAAGATTTACATTACAAAGTTCAAATATGGTTTTTTTTTTTTATGCGGACAGATAATTTTGTTATATGAGTCAGTCTGAGGTATGAAAACTACTGATATTTGTTTTACGATTCAATATTTTGAATAAACAAAGGACATGCTGGCACTCTAAGTTGATGCGAACACAATTTTGTCTTCATTGTGTTCCAATATTGCTATCATTTGTATTATACAATTTATTCTTACATGAATACATTACTGATTTACTATGCGACTATAAGATTTACATAATAAAGTGCAAATATGGTCAGTTTTGGTTGATGCGGACAGATAATTTTGTTATACGAGTCAGTCTGAGATATCAAAACTACTGAAATTTCTTTACGATTCAATATTTTGAATAAAGAGGACATCTTGACACTCTAAATTGATGCGAACAAAATTTTGTATTCATTGTGTTCCAATATTGCTGTCATTTGTATTATACAATCCATCCTGACGTGAAAATATTACTGATTTACTATGCGACAACAAGTTTAACATAATAAAGTGCAAATATGGTCAGTTTTGGTTGATGCGGACAGATAATTTTGTTATATGAGTCAGTCTGAGGTATGAAAACTACTGATATTTGTTTACGATTCAATATTTTGAATAAAAAGAGGACATGTTGGCACTCTAAATTGATGCGAACAAAATTTTGTATTCATTGTGTTCCAATATTGCTATCATTTGTATTATACTATCCATCCTTACATGAATATATTACTGATTTACTTTGCGACTATAAGATTTACATAATAAAGTGCAAATATGGTCAGTTTTGGCTGATGCGGACAAATAATTTTGTTATACGAGTCAGTCTGAGATATCAAAACTACTGAAATTTGTTCACGATTCAATATTTCAAATAAAAAGAGGACATGTATGTACTTTTAATAGATGCAGATTTTTTTTTTGTAGTTATTGTGTTCCAATATTGCTGTCACCTTTATTTTACAATCTGTCCTGACAAAAAAATATTACTGATTTACTATGCGACTATAAGATTTACATTACAAAGTTCAAATATGGTCTTTTTTTTTATGCGGACAGATAATTTTGTTATATGAGTCAGTCTGAGGTATGAAAACTACTGATATTTGTTTTACGATTCAATATTTTGAATAAACAAAGGACATGCTGGTACTCTAAGTTGATGCGAACACAATTTTGTCTTCATTGTGTTCCAATATTGCTATCATTTGTATTATACAATTTATTCTTACATGAATACATTACTGATTTACTATGCGACTATAAGATTTACATAATAAAGTGCAAATATGGTCAGTTTTGGTTGATGCGGACAGATAATTTTGTTATACGAGTCAGTCTGAGGTATGAAAACTATTGATATTTGTTTACGATTCAATATTTTGAATAGAAAGAGGATATGCTGGCATCCTAAATTGATGCAAACAAAATTTTGTTTTCATTGTGTTCCAATATTGCTATCATTTTTATTATATAATCCATTCTTACATGAATATATTACTGATTTACCATGCGACTATAAGATTTACATAATAATTTAAAAGTGAAAATATGGTCAGTTTTGGTTGATGCGGACAGATAATTTTGTTATATGAGTCAGTGTGAGGTATGAAAACTACTGAAATTTCTTTACGATTCAATATTTTGAATAAAAAGAGGACATGCTGGCACTATAAATTGATGCGAACAAAATTTTGTTTTCATTGTGTTCCAAAATTGCTGTCTATTGTATTAAACAATCCATCCTTCCATGAAAATATTACTGATTTGCTTTGCGACTATAAAATTTCCATAATAAAGTGCAAATATGGTCAGTTTTTCTTGATGCGGACAGATAATTGTGTTATACGAGTCAGTTTGAAGTATGAAAACTATTGATATTTGTTTACGATTCAATATGTTGAATAAAAAGAGGACATGCTGGCATCCTAAATTGATGCGAACAAAATTTTGTATTCATTGTGTTCCAATATTGCTATCATTTGTATTATACTATCCATCCTTACATGAATATATTACTGATTTACTTTGCGACTATAAGATTTACATAATAAAGTGCAAATATGGTCAGTTTTGGCTGATGCGGACAAATAATTTTGTTATACGAGTCAGTCTGAGATATCAAAACTACTGAAATTTCTTTACGATTCAATATTTTGAATAAAGAGGACATCTTGACACTCTATATTGATGCGAACAAAATTTTGTATTCATTGTGTTCCAATATTGCTGTCATTTGTATTATACAATCCATCCTGACGTGAAAATATTACTGATTTACTATGCGACAACAAGTTTAACATAATAAAGTGCAAATATGGTCAGTTTTGGTTGATGCGGACAGATAATTTTGTTATACGAGTCAGTCTGAGGTATGAAAACTACTGATATTTGTTTACGATTCAATATTTTGAATAAAAAGAGGACATGTTGGCACTCTAAATTGATGCGAACAAAATTTTGTATTCATTGTGTATCACTATTGTTGTCATTTGTATTATACAGTCTATCTTGACATAAAAATATAACTGATTTACTATGCGGCGATATAGATTTACTTGATAAAGAGCAAATGTGGTTTTGGTTAATGTGATCAAATAATTTTGTTGTACGAGTCATCCTGAGTCAGCCAGTCTGAGATGAAAAAAAAATGTTCGATTTAGGTGATGATTAAATTATTTGAATAAAAGAAGGACTTGCTTGAACTATTTATTTGTGAAGACAAAGAAATTTACTATGATTAATTTTCAATGAATTAAAGGGATGTAATAACATTATTAATTAATTGTAATCGTCAATATGTCAATCAAAAATGACCAGTTGGTCATTTAATTTTTATGTACCTTATCATTTGATATTTAAGGTCAGTGTATCCAGAATACGAAGACAATCTGCGTTAACGCGCGTTTACTACAAACAAAAATAGAGGACGCGCCTTTTTTCACGTTAACGAGGAAGTAAACGCGAAAGTAAACGCCCGTTTACTATTTACAAAATTAGAAGACGCGCCGTTTTTGCGTTAACGCGGAGGTAAACGCGAAAGTAAACGCGAAAGTAAACGCTAGTTTATTTTTTATGTCTACTGAAATTTCGGAGTTAACGCACAGTTAACACGGCGTTTACATGAAGTGCACGCGAGTAAACGCCGCATTAACTTTTTAATGCTTGGTCTGCACCCAACTGTATTATGTCTGTTTTATTTTCGTACATTGTTGTCATTATAATGGAATTGTATGCGACTGTCATACAAGTGCGAGGTTGAGATAGCTATAACACTAGGTTTAATCCACTATTTTCTACATAAGGAAATGCCTGTACCAAGTCAGGAATATGATAGTTGTTTTCCATTCGTTTGATGTATTTGAGCTTTTGATTTTGCAATTTGATAAATAGCTATCCGTATCGAATTTTCCTTGGAGCTCGGTATTTTTGTTATTTTACTTTTTTAAGTTTTAAATTTTTAGATTTTTCCCCACAAATGAGTTAATGTACATTAATTTAGTTTTTGTAGCACGGTTTGCAAACACTGCACCTTATAATCAGGCCAACTAAGATGCATATTTACGTAAGCACATATCTGGATCTTCGTCTTCTCCTGTTGAACACTCATCACGTCCATCACACCACAGTTCTTCATTAATACAACGGTAGTCATCACTACACTTTCTAGAACCATAAGGACATTCTCTTGCTGAAAGAAATAATTTGATCAGGGTAAGAAATTAGGAATATAGAGCTACATATTTCAGTGGTATATTATTTGTTATTTAATGACACATAGAAACAACGTATCGTAAGTTTACTAACTGAGAGAATAATTTCATGTAATTATTTATACTTGACTATAACGAACTGCAATGACAATTGTCTCACATTCTGAATGTTAGTTATAGTGCCATTCTTCGTACGTTTTTTCATTGATTGCAATCATTTACATGATCCATTAACGCCTTGTGAACAATGATCATGCCCATTACACTTCCTATGACAGGGGACGGTTGATACAAATTACTTTGTAAACTTTAACAGGTCTATATTCATTAATGGAAAACATGATTAATCATACACAGTTTTTATTCAATTGATATTCGAATGTCATGAACTACGACCTTCGGCACATATCTGACAATTTGTTCTTACATCGTCAAACCATTCGAAAATATTTACGAACTTTTTTTTAACTAAATACACATTAATATATCTTAAATATTATGCATGTCAAAGTGTTTCATTTGAAATGTTGGAAAGCTTCATGTCGACGAAAACAAAACATGATCTGGGTAGATCATCTTTTGCATTGAATGATAGTAAGTTCATTTATGCCAAAAGACACATATTGCAATTATATTAAGAAGGAGGGTAAATGCAATATACTTTAAAAAAAACAAGCTTTTCAACGTGTATCGACTCGAATTATTATAAGTCACTTAAACCAATGTTATTTCGTTGGAAAAGAGAAACATGCAGCACTATTGGAATGCATACTTACGAGATAGATACATTAAACAGGGAATTAAAGAGGTATGGTGGGCAAAGTATTAAAACAGTTATTACAATTGAAAAAAATAAAAACGCTTGACATAAATATTTTGAATGAGATTTTTGCTTGCAGTCTTTCTATAGAAATTGAAACGTTCTTGCAATGGTTCTTTAACATGCACTGAGTCACTCATTACCGGCAGAAAATTCAACATTCATAATCCGATCAAACGAATCTTGTATTTCTCAACCTCAAAAACGACCTATATCAATGTTGAACAGTGTAAAATATTTTGCGGTGAGGATTTGTCTTATATTGAAATAAGATCACGAGAAAACCGCATATTTCTTAGTGTTATATTTCTGAGAGTATGAGAATATGGACATAAAGTAAAAGGATCCATCGTCAAATACATATACGATCACTAATTACCTCTTTGTGTCTGCAACATTTATGCTTTTATATGTTTAACTTGTGAAAAGAATCCTATATTAACCACCCACCTGCAACATTTTACAAAACTTTCTTTAACACATGCCTTTTATCTTTTATCAGGAATTATATAGCACTGCACGTAGAGGGATTGTCATTGTTGTTTCATTTTCACACAAAACATAGTATGTAACAAAATTTCCAACGAGTGTTTGCGCAAATATGACTGAAATTGATAAACCGAAACACAACCATGAAAATGGGGGTATTGAAGATCAACTGTTTGCTTCGGATAATAGGGGATACACTTCTTGTTGAATATTCTTCTTTTATTGTTTCCTCCTATGTAATGATGAGTGTTTACCTTTGCATTTTACTTTATCTTCGTCACTACTATCACGACAATCTCCATGGCCGTCACAGAGACTGTCTATACGTATACATTCTATTCCATCCGCACATTTAACTCTACCACTTTGACATTGGTATTCTAGAAAACAACAACCGGAACAGTCCATCAGATTTATAATCGGTATGTCTTGTCGAACGTTTAGAATTATTGTCTTTAACATTTATTTGAACTATGTTTACGACATTCATTACTTGAAGATGGTTCTACTTCAATCTTCTGTCCAGTTTGGATGTGATTGATAATACTCTTACAATGTTTTTTTACCAAGTCAGTTAGTTTATTCTCTATTGCAATATACCTTTCATTATCATATGTTCAACGTTTTTAACAATGGTGCGTGGCGATCTTCCTCAAATCCTTTTGGTGTAATCATTGATTATAAATAACTAGATGACAGGAATAAAGTTGTATACAATATATCAATTTAATAATTTTTAGGAAAATATTATTATGTTTATTACTCAGATGATATACGCGGGAAATCAAGATTGATAATCAAACAAATGTGTTGGTTTTAATAACTGAATCCAAAAGTCAAGAGCATGTAGATATACACAGTGCTTTGCAAAAACATCAATTGATTAAATATATCTGTACATAAGCAGTAAGTTAAATGTAAAAGAAAATACCTTTACAGGCAACTGCATCTTCATCAGATTCATCATTACAGTCCGTATATCCATTACAAAAATTATCTATGTTTATACACTGATAATTGTCTGCACACTTTTTCTCGCCTGGTTCACAAATTCTATCTGTAATTGACATATACATTCATCACATTAAACACCTTATCAAAATAGCCTGATAATTCAACATACCCTTAAAAAAAGTACAAACAAATGTCGCAATATTTACTATGAAAATGTCTCAATCCTGGTTTAAATAAATAGTTTAATATCGTTAAATACCTATTTGAAAACCTTAATAATGTTTAATAAAAGTAGTTCTTATCCGCAAATAACTAAGTTTAACAAATAGTACCAGAACAACGTTATGAAAAATGGACTTCAGGAAAAATCTTAACAATATTTCTTTGCGTGTCAAAAATACAGATCGGAAAACATTTGATTTTCCACAATGTAGTCAATTCTCAGTATGGAAGTTTTCAATCAGAAAATACTTTTTTCGAACTGAGTCGTCATAAAAAAATTTGAACAAAACTGAAAAGTATGCCTTGTTTACAACACTGAGAAAATATATGCCTTTTATTAGTTTTACATCCTCTGGACTTTGATCTGAAACGGTCGTTTTGATCAAATCAAATCTTAAAAGACTGAACAATAAATCACTATTACATTTTCAGTCTTTCAGTTAAATTTTGAATTTATCAAATGCGGTAAATTCAGAATTGTTCAGACAATGTGCTTGCGGTAAATTATGATCTGTTCAGTCTAAGCTCTAACTTTTCAGTTATTGCTATTTACCATTACACATCAACATCATACGGATTCGTCTAAAAAACTACTGAACAGTACTGAATTAACTGCTAGTATGAACAGTCTTCAATTCACAGCAGTACTTTAGTCTGAAAATTTACTGATAGTCCCAACATGACTTAATACTTTATTGTTCAGACTTTTCAGGTGATGTTAAGACCAACATAGCCATTTCAGACTAAAACTCGTTACTAGAATTTAAAGAATTTATTCCACCAATGCCGTCGACATATTTGTGTGTTTTAATCTATCCAGACGGTATCACAAACCAATTAGTCAGCCTTTTTGTCTTTGTGCTCATATGACATTTATTTGATGCGATCATTATCATCTGTTAACCCTCAAACATTGTTGTCAGCCTGATTCGTCAAAACATATGTAATTTCAAGTATTTAATGCTCTTAAACTTTGTCATTGAAATGGATTTATTCAACTACTACTTATGAATTTTGTGTGGCAATGTTCATTGTATGCAATCTGAGTTTGTGTAGAAGAAATGCTCGCCTCAATACTCATTGTATGCAATCTGAGTTTCAGGTTTTGCATTTTTACCCCAAACAGGAGTATGACTGAGGCAAATCTACAGTTAATGTACCCTGTAATGACGTCATCAGCAGTTTTTGTGTTCTGTCATGACTCATAATAAGTTTTTGTGCCCTTTTATAAACTTTGTGTCTCAATGTTCATTTTATGCAATCTTAGTTTTGTGTAGACAACAATGATGGACGGGGAACGTCGATTAAATGAGAGCGGAATGTGTTAATGAAATTATGAATACTACTACTAAAAGAAAATCTCACATTGATATAATAACATTCAAGTACTACAAATTTAAACGGCTTGGGTACTCCGTCATTTTAAAGTTATTTCAATGGAGGACAAAACTTGCTAAAGTTTGTTCTACTTTTTTTTATTATAATAAGCATTTATATAATATGTGATAAATATATTATAACACGTGGTTTGCCATATCATATGAGCCCTGGTATAATCCCTCGACCCATATAAGCCATCGACTAGCGTCTCGCGTCTATCACCAGAGTCTCGGGTTTATACCGGAGCCGATTTAGAAAATGACATGTCATAATCGATAATAATTTACTTTTGCATATTCAGGATTTCCATCTGAATCATTATTACAAAAGGAATAGTAGTAACGTTAATCGTTATTCAGAAGACAAATAAACAATGTAACCTTTTTTTTTCTTCAAAATGTTATTTATGTCGTCGGGTTGCAATCTGGCAGATCTATAACAAAAGCCTCTTTTTATGCATGTTAAAAAGAAATTATGTTTCAGAATTGATTCTCCTCCTATTGTTTAATAACGAAAACATTGCAATGAAATAAAAACATGCCAAACTTTTAATGATTTTTTGTCACAAATCACCATACAGATACACATCCAAATTCTCAAAAACAGAAATCTGACTCATCATATCTCACCTTTACACATATCTTCATTCTCATCAGATTTGTCATTGCAATGTGTGTATTTGTTACATACATTTGATTTATAAATGCATTGTATGCCATCATCACATTTCACATTGTCTCTGTCACATTCCCTTGCTGCAAAAAAAAATGTTATTCATGTTTAAGCAAAAGTGCTTGTTTTTTGTTTTTGTAAATCGTCAGCATGGAATCATACTAATTAAATCAATGACATTCATTCTCTAGTTTTAACTAGCTTACATTAATAACAAATATCGTTTTAATATATTTTGAAAAACCGAAGAAAATTGTTTAATTTCAAAAACATTTGATCTTCATTTTTTGATTTTGAAAGTGTGATAACCAAGAACATTTGTATTTATTATTTTAATGAAATTTCAATGAAGATTAAACAGGTATATAGATAAACTCAATCAAACATATTAAAAAGAAAATTTACAGAAAGTTGCGTCTTTCGGTGCTGGTGATATCAATGAATATGATATTATTAGACGTGAATCCATCATGATATTGGTGTATTGGACAGCAGATTCTTTTTGTTCCAGTTGGTTTAACGTATTTGTTTTTACCGTAATTATTTAACTAGTGCATTTGCTTCGCTTAATTTGATTGCTTGTCATTTCAGGTACACATTGCTAGTCAACTAGCTGTGATTTACAAGAGGAGCTTCAGCATGATTTCATATTCCTACCCTACTAACATTGGAAAATATGACTCATAGGAATATGTCTGAAACCGATTATAGCAATACATTATACAATTCTAAATTCCCTATTTTCTAGAATTTTTTTAAAAGATCTTTCATATACTGCATATATCCATTTGTTGTACTGTATTAAAAACAAAAAACCTTATAGTAACCTATACAGTCTTTAAATTGTGTGCAATTTCAAAGTGAACGCGTATAACGTCTGGTTGGTCTTTTCTTCTTCCTGTTAAAGAACAGGAGTCATTGCCGTCTATTGTATGTACTGTTATTGATGTAACACAATGGTGTAGGAGATAGGTGTAATGGTGTTTAGTGTATTGTTTATGCGAGAAGTTTACATCATTTAGGAATTTTCATCATGTAAAGAGATATTCAAACTCCTTAGTCGAAAACAAAAAGAACATGCCATAGCAAAAATTGAAAAACGACAAAATATGGATCAATCTTTAAAAAAAGGAGATGGTGCAAATAAGCCAGAAAAAAAATGTTCTCGTGCAGGCTGCGAGTTTCACCGTATAAACAGATTTAAATAACGTTGCATGGTTTTAACCTCACATTTTATTTGCAAAACAATAAGTAGGTTGAGACTAAACAGACAATCGCTTCAGAATATACCTCTACAAACGTCTGGATCTTCATCTGATTTATCTGTACAATCTTCATGGCCGTCACATAAGCTGTATTCACCGATACATTGCAATCCGTCAGAACATTTTTGATTGTAATCACTGCAGCTATAATCTTGATATATGTATGCAATGTAAAATATAATCAATATGATAAAATCAGACATGAAAAGAGTTGCTACATCAAGCATACAATAGTTTTGCGCCGCTAAAAATAAGTATATGTGATTATAATGATATTTATCCATTTTTTTGTTTTTGTAATGAAACTGAGTTTGTTCCCACTAATGCCTCTGTATACACATCTGACACATTATTGTATCCAGTTTCAACATCAATTTTACCAAAACTGATAAAAAACACGGATACATTACCTTGCCAAAAGTTATGTTTGAAAATTGCTGGGTTTTTTTAAACATGCAAAACACCGTTTTTTTTTTATTTTGATTGTTACCAAAGTATTATGGTATATTGAATATTATAATTAATTTGACAGATATTCTCTATATCTCCTTAACGATATAAATCAACATTTGTTTTGTTCGAGAAAAAGAGTAAGCAGTTCCTTATTAAAGTACCTCGACAAAAGCCTGGATCTTCATCTGACTTATCGTTGCAATCTACATTTCCATTACACAAACTATTTTGTTCGTCGACACATTGTTGTCCATCAGCACATTTGCTTTTCCACTCAGGGCAAACATATGCTATACATAAAATTGAAAAACCTATTTAGAATCACATTATTTTAGTTTTTTAAATGGTTTTAAATCATGTAATACATAAATATCATACAAATAGTAACAAAAGATCAAAACGTCTAAATGTGGGACTAACTGTCACTGCTTTGTTTCATAAATGAATAAACACCATGTCATAATGTAAGCCTACTGTTGAAATATAATCATTATATTGTTTGCTAAACAAAAATCCGCCATTTTCCTCCTTAGTTGAAACAAAATTTTCCTGCTATGGTTAATTATATATTACATTTCTGTGAAGTGTTTTGTACACTCTTTATATTTCTTTTTTTTTTTGTCGTTTACCTTTTTTATCATGGTGTTAATTGTTTCTTTTCGACTTCTATTTATTGACTTTGCCCTTGATGTAATTTAGCGTTTGGTAAGTTTTTACTTCCTTGTATGAAGTGATTTTTTCTCTCTGGTTTTATGAGATTTTCACTGCGGAGAAGCCATTTATGTTTTCAACAGTTTAGAAAGAAATTATTTAGAAGAATCATTCTCTATCGTTTGTCTGAAAAGAGAAGATAATTGAGAATTAGAATAGATTATTATATATTTTTATCTCAAATTATATCTTTTATTTGAAGCGAGAACAAAAATTCAAATTATTTGGATCGACAGTTAAATTGTGCATTAAAGACGTTTGGTTCTAGTATTTCAATGAAATTTACGGAGGAAATAACCATTTTGATCTCAAACCTTAAAAGAATATATAAGATGGTTAATTGAACAGAAAACCTGAAAGTTGAAGCAAAACAAGACTACTATCAAGTGAATTTAATAATTTTACAAACTCAAGGTTGCATTTTAATCTGGGTGACACATTTGATTGACATATGGGCGCAGTCCGAACCTGTACATCAATTGACTTTGAGCCGACTTTATGACTGCTGTCCAAGTTAAAAAAAAAAGAAGGCAGACAAGCCAGTTAACTTCATCGGTAGTAAACAAAACCTAGATTTGCTTTTCAAGGGCTGCTACAGACCTACTTACAAGTCTGTTCCAGACCAGACCTGTGAACATAAATGCTTTTGAACGATCCGTATGTGTGTTCAGATCCTGAACTTACATAAGGACAGGTCGGCTTATGAAAGATTGTTGGGCTAGTAATTTTTAACACTTTTAATATCAGACAGAACCTTTTAAACGATAATTGCATTGTTCTATTTTACAAAACATCAAAGTACTATTCTATATACCCTGTGACTCAAATTTGTTTTCTTTGATATAAATACAATAATGGTTAACAATTTCGCATTTGTTGATCGTCATATATATATATATATGTACATGCATTTCATACATGAAAGAATATTATTTTTTTTTTGTTAATCCAAATACGTATAAAAAGGTTATATAATGCGTTCGAAAATCAATTGTATATGATGGGATAGTAACAACATTGTTTTAGTTGCCTTCTTTCCGATTATTTACACTCTCTTCTTAATATTTATTTTCTATGAAATAAATTCATTTTTCAATGTGATTCACTTTGTTTACCTTTGATTCGATTATATTTTCTACGGCAGTTGTATAGTGTCAGGATATATAGGCGTTGTATAATTTTTTTTTAATCAATTATGAACCTTCTAGCCAATTTCGGCATATTTACCTTTTTATCATACAGCTATAACATTTTTATCATAAAGCACGAATATGGTAACTTTTGATCGATACGAACACAACGGTTTGTTATACAAACTATCTCAAGATATCTAAACTACTTTCTTTTAGTGACAGTTTAGTATTTTGACTAAAAGAAGGAAGCGTTGACACTCGAAATTAAGGCGGAAAAAACTTTGTAGTCAATGTGTACCAATATCGCTTGCATTTGTATTATACAAACATCCTTAGTTAACAAATTTACTGATTAATGATACCGCCATATCATTTATATTACAAACTATAAATATTGAAACCTTTGGTTAATGCAGACAAAATGATTCTACTAACCATCCTGAGATATCAAAACTACTGACTTTTAATGACGGTTCAGTACTTTGACATAAAAGAGGAAATTGTTGGCACTCTAAACTGATGCAGACACATTTGTGTTTTTAATGTGTACCAACATTGCTGTCATTTGTATTATACAATCCATCATGAGTTAACAAATTTACTAATTTATGATACCGCTATTTGATTTCTTTAACTGCAAATATGATCAGTTTTTGGTTGATGCAATCCAATATTGTTCTTATACAATCTATCCTGAGATATATGAAAAATACTAATTTTCAGTGTCGGTTCAGTAATTTGAAAAAAGAGGAAGTGCCAGCTTTCTAATTTAAATTGATGCAGATAAAAGTCATAAGTCGGAATTATATGTTAGGAATTCGAAACCTTAGTTTTGAAAGGAAGGTTAATCTGCAAAAGGCCAATGTGTATCCGAGGAAAATATAATTCGGCAAGCGCAAAACTCTTTTCAATGGTATTTGATTTGTTTTTTTGATCTTGGTATAGTTAGTGTAGAACAATTTTGTACAAAATTACTTTTGAAATATTTGATAAAATTGATCGGATTCATGTTCTTGGAAAGTATTTTATTTTTATCACTTATCATTTTTTTCTCACCCGTATCAACACTCCAAATGAAGGGGACGTTCAATCCTTAATCTACACTCTAAGAAAACCAAAAACATTTAAACCTTTTATTTCAGTGATAAGTTAAAAAAAAAGGTTTGTTTGAATTTACATATAACTCTTTGAAAGTAAAATTATAAACTCTGGCTATGCTATGTAAAATAAACAGTAGATTCCTTTTAACGAACCTTTGCACACCTCTTCCTCTTCATCAGAACCGTCGGCACAATGTTTCACTCCATCGCAAAAAGTAGAATTATAGACACATTGAAGACCATTTGCGCACTTGACCTTGTTGTATATACAAGGAAAGGCTGAATAGAATAATTAAAAATGTGTATGGTCTTCATTAATTCTTAAATTATAAACGAGCTAAGGCTCTAACACCAGCAAGCAAAGTTGACCTCAGGCATCTTTGACTTTTAATTCGGTATTTATTCATATGGCTTAAACATGTTTTGCTGTTGTGTTTCCGATGAAGGTTAAACAATAAAAGCGCTTTGAACGCAAAAATTTGAAATCGTTTGCTTGCATTTAAAACCTCTAATGTGCTGGTTTGTTTTTGTTTGTTGTTTAGGTTTGTTTTTGTTTTGATAAAAAAATAAGAAGATTGCTAATGAGACAAAACTCCAGCAGAGATCAAATGACCCAGACATTAACAGCTATAAGTCAGGGTACGACCTGCAACGATGAGCAAAATCAATACCACATAGTGAGCTATAAAAGGCACCGAAAATATAAAACGAATAAACAAGAACAGTTGTTTTGTTTGTTTGTATTATCAGGCAGATGAGTTATATATACATTTTTTAAAGGTTTGCATATTTAACGCGTTTAACAGCTAGACTGATTAAACAGGCAATCGTTAACCATATATGTCCTTAGTTAATAAATCAAACATCTTTTGAAATTTAATTGTTTCAAATCTATCTGAGGCAAATACCCTAAATGACCTTTTATAAATGCATATACCTTTACAAAAATCTTCATCCTCGTCTGATCCGTCATTGCAATTGGTATATTGATTGCATAGGCCTGATTTATAAATACACTCTATGTTATCCCTACATTTAACTTGATCATCTGAACACTTATAATCTACAATTCAAAGAAATGAAACATAGATAAAAGAGTTTTTATTTTGAGAAAAGTTTCGACGCGATCGTTAAAGGCACGGTTAACATCTATAATGAAAATCTTTTCCTTTCCTCTCGTGGATTGCTCTTATTACAAAATGTAAATTGTGTGTGTCTTCCAGTATAAGTGTTTTATATTAGTTACTTAAAAATAGCCTGGATACGATAACATAAGTAGTGCTATTTGAAAAATTAGCTGACATTGATAATGTTTCGTTTTCGAAACAAGTGTCCTGATGATTGCTTGAAGCAAGGTAAAAGACTAACGATTGCGCACGATAACAAATGGTCCATAATTTCTTCTTAAAAGTGCTCCATTAAAATATTTCACATCTTATTTCAAACTTTTATTTGATATCAATTTTTACATAATAGTTCTTACTTTGACAATGTCTAACATAGTCTCAGGAAATGAACAATAAAGTGTCTTTATCGAACAAAAATTAAACATTTGTTAGTATGTGTCAATTTTAACCAAATGAAAATATCGAACAAAATTCAGCGAAAATTTACTCGACTGCATTCATAAACAAGTTATCATTATGTCTTAACTTTGCCCTATCATTTTACGATGGAACTATTTTATGGATTTTTAAACGAGACGCCATGGAATTTGCAAGTGGTCATTTTTTAATATAAAAATCAATACAGGCAATTAGTCAGATCCATCATGAGATTGTGAATAACCAGACTATAGGTCATCCTCATATATACCCTGAATACCATCCGGGCATTACATCCTGCATCCATCAATAATAATCAGAAAAATTATTGCCGCTTTTATAATTTTCAACAGATAACCAAAAGAATAAAAAACACTATTAATAATAGAAAATGATTTGTTTTATATCGGTGATTTTAATCGACAATTGTATAGCTCTGATTGAGTAATCTTAAAAAAAAAAAAACTGTATCAAACGCTTTACAGAGACACGGCGTCCATTTTCTCTGAACTAGTACACATTCTTTTTAGGGGCCAGCTGAAGCCCACCCCGGGGTGTGGGATTTTCTCGCTGTCTTGAACACCTATAGGGGGCCTTCGGCTGTTTTCTGCTCTTTGGTCGGGTTGTTGTCTCTTTGACATATTCCCTATTTCCATTCTCAATTTTACGTAGCAGTAATAAGTGGTTGGGTACAAAATACGACAATGCAAACGCCAAACCCAAAATAAAACGAACAGACCACGGCAGTAAGGAATTGAGACATTGATTCCTTAAATAAGTAGTCTATTTTCCTATTACTACTATTGACTCCGGAGTATAAAGTTTTCCAGCATATAAACGTCTCTGTGGAGGACATTCTGGTACTCAGTCAATAGATTAAAGTCTCTGTGCTAGGATATTCTGGTACTCAGTCAAAACGTTCACGTCTCTGTGGTAGGATATTCTGGTACTCAGTCAAAACGTTCACGTCTCTGTGGTAGGACATTTTGGTACTCAGTCAAAACGTTCACGTCTCTGTGGTAGGACATTCTGGGATTCAGTCAATAGATTAAAGTCTCTGTGGTAGGACAATCTGGTTCTCTATCAATACGTTTACGTCTCTGCGGTAGGACATCCTGGGATACAGTCAATAGATTAAAGTTTCTGTGGTAGGACATTCTGGTACTCTGTCAATTCGTTAACGTTTCTGTGATGGGACACTCTAGTACTCAGTCAATATATTAAATCTCTCAGGTAAGACTTTCTGGTTCCACAGTTAATACGTTAACGTCTCTGTGGTAGGACATTCTGGTACTCTGTGAATGCGTTAACGTCTCTGTGGTGGGACAATTTGGTACCAACTGAATAGGTTAAAGTCCCTGTTGTAGGACATTATGGTTCTCAGTAAATAGAGTTACGCCTCTATGGTGGGACATTATGGTACTCTTTAAATGCGCTAACGTCTGTGTGGCAGGACATTCTGGGACTCAGTCAATAGATTAAAATCTCTGTGGTAGGACATTCTGGTACTCTGTCAATACATTCACGTCTCTGTGGCACTCCATTCTGGTACTTACTGAATAGGTTAAAGTCTATGTGGTAGGACATTCTGGTACTTAGTCAACACGTCCACGTCTCTGTGGGTGAACATTCTGGGACTCAATCAATAGAGTAACGTCTTTTCGGTAGAACATTCTAGTATTCAGCCAATACGTTAACGTCTCTGTGGTAGGACATTCTGCTACTCTGTTAATACGTTAACGTCTCTGTGGTAGGACATTCTGGTACTCTGTTAATACGTTCACGTCTCTGCGGTAGCACATTCTGGGACTCAGTCAATAGATTAAAGTCTCTCTGGTAGGACATTCTGGTACTCAGTCAATACGTTCACGTCTCAGTGGTAGGACATTATGGGACTCAGTCTATAGATTAAAGTCTCTGTGGTAGGACATTTTGGTACTCAGTCAAAACTTTCACGTATCTGTGGTAGGACATTGTGGGACTCAGTCAATAGATTAAAGTCTCTGTGGTAGGACATTCTGGTATTCAGTCAACAGAGAGTAATGTCTCTGTAGTAGGACATTCTGGTACTCTGTCAATACGTTAACGTCTCTGTGGTAGGACATTCTAGTACTCAGTCATTAGGTTAACGTCTCTGTGGTAGGACAATCTGTTTCTCTATCAATACGTTAAAGTCTCTGCGTTAGGACATCGTGGGATAAAGTCAATAGATTAAAGTCTCTGTGGTAGGACATTCTGTTACTCTGTCAATTCCTTAACGTCTTTGTGGTAGGACATTCTAGTACTCAGTCACTAGATTAAATCTTTGCTGTAGGACATTCTGGTACTCAGTTGATGCGTTAACGTCTCTGTGGTAGGACATTCTGATACTCTGTGAATACGTTAACGTCTCTGTGGTAGGACAATTTGGCACTAACTAAATAGGTTAAAGTCCCTGTTGTAGGACATTCTGGTACTCAGTCAATAGAGTAACGCCTCTATGGTGAGACATTATGGTACTCTGTAAATACGTTAACGTCTCTGTGGAAGGACTTTCTGGGACTCAGTCAATAGATTAAAGTCTCTGTGGTAGGACAATCTGGTTCTCAGTCAATAGATTAAAGTCTCTGTGGTAGGACATTCTGGTATATAGTCAATACGATAACTTCTCTGTGCTAGGACATCCTTAGGCGCAGTCAATACGTTAATGTCTCTGTGGTATGATATTATGGTATTAAATCACTTGATTAACGTGTCTGTGTTAGGACATTCTTGGATATAGTCAATACGTTAACGTCTCTGTGGAAGGACATTCTGGGAGTCAGTCAATACGTTAACGTCTTTGTGGTAGGACATTCTAGTACTATGTTAATACGTTAACGTCTCTGTGGTAGGACATGCTGGTACTTACTAAATGCGTTAACATCTCTGTGGTAGGACATTCTGGTGCTCTTTTAATACGTTAACGTCTCTGTGGTAGGACATTCTAATACTCTGTCAATAGGTTAACGTCTAGGTGGTAGGACATTCTGGCACTCAGACAATAGATTAAAGTCTCTGTGGTAGAACATTATGGGACTCAGTCAATAGATTAAATATCTGTGGTAGGACACTCTGTTACTCAGTCAACAGAGTAACGTCTCTTTATTAGGGCATTCTGGTATTCAGTCAATCAGTTAACGTTTATGTGGTAGGACATTATGGTACACTGGTTATACGTTAACTCCTCTATGGTGGGACATTCTGGTACTCTGTCAATTCGTTAACGTCTCTGTGGTAGGACATTCTATTACTCAGTCAATAGATTAAAGTCTCTGTGGCTAGACATTCTGGTACTCAGTTAATACGTTAATATCTCTGTAGAGGGACAATTTGGTACTCACTGAATAGGTTAAAGTCCCTGTTGTAGGACATTCTGGTACTCAGTCAATAGGTTAAAGTCTCTGTGGTAGGACATTCTGGTATTCTGCTAATACGTTAACGTCTCTGTGGTAAGACACTCTGTTTCTCAGTCAACATAGTAACGTCTCTGTGTTAGGACATTCTGGTACTCAGTCAAAACTGTGGTAAGACATTCTAGTACTTTGTTAATACGTTAACTCCTCTGTGGTAGAACATTCTGGGACTCAGTCAATAGATTAAGTCTCTGTGGTAGGACACTCTGTTGCTCAGTCAACATAGTAATGTCTCTGTGTTAGGACATTCTTGTACTCAGTCAATACGTTGACATTTCTGTGGTAGGACATTCTGGTACTCTGTTAATACGTTAACTTCTCTGTGGTAGGACATTCTGGGACTCTGTCAATAATTTAAAATCTTTGTGGTAGGAAATTCTCGTACTCAATCAAAAAATTAAAGTTTCTGTGGTGGGACATTCTGGTACTCTGTCAATTCGTTAACTTCTCTAGGGTATAGGACATTCTAGGACTCAGTCAATAGATTAAAGTCTCTGTGGTAAGACATTCTGATACTCAGTTAATACGTTAATGTCTCTGTGGTAGGACATTCTGGTACTCTGTGAATTTGTTAATGTCTCTGTAGAGGGACAATTTGGTACTCATTGAATAGGTTAAAGTCCCTGTTTTAGGGCATTCTTGTACTCAGTTAATAGGTTGACGTCTCTGTGGTAGGACATTCTGGTACTCATTCAATAGGTTAACGTTTCAGTGGTAGTACACTGTGATACTCAGTCAATACGTTAACATCCCTGTGGTAGGACATTCTGGTACTCAGTCAATAGAGTAACGCCTCTGTGGTGGGACATTCTTGTACTCTTTAAATACGTTAACGTCTCTGTGGTAGGACATTTTGGGTCTCAGTCCATACGTTAACGTCTCTGTGGTACATGTAGGACATTCTGGTATTCTGCTAATACGTTAAAGTCACTGTGGTAGGACATTCTGGTACTCAGACAATAGATTAAAGTCTCTGTGGTAGGACACTCTGTTACTCAGTCCACAGAGTAATGTCTCTGTGTTAGGACATTCTGGTACTCAGGCAAAACGTTAACGTTTCTGTGGTAGGACATTCTAGTACTTTGTTAATACGTTAACTCCTTTGTGGTTGGACATTCTTGGACTCTGTCAATAGAGTAACGTCTCTGTGGTAGGACATTATGGTACTCAGTCAATAGATTATAGTCTTTGTTTTATGACATTCTGGTACTCAGTCAAAAAATTAAAGTCTCTGTGGTAAAACATTCTGGTAGTCAGTTAATACGTTAAAGTCTCTGTGGTAGGATATTATGGTACTCACTGAATACGTTAATGTCCCAGTGGTAGGACAATTTGGTACTCACTGAATAGGTTAACGTCTCAGTGGTAGGAAACTGTGATACTCAGTCAATACGTTAACATCCTTGTGGTAGGACATTCTGGTACTCGGTCAATAGAGTTAGGCCTCTGTGATGGGACATTCTGTTACCCTGTAAATATGTTACCGTCTCTGTAGTAGGACGTTTTGGGATTCAGTCAATACGTTAACGTCTCTGTGGTAGGACATTCTGGTATTCTGCTAATACGTTAACGTTTCTGTGGTAGGACATTCTGGTACTCTGTTAATACGTTAACCTCTCTGTGGTAGGACATTCTTGGACTCAGTCAATAGGTTAAAGTCTCTGTGGTAGGACAATATGGTACTCAGTCAAACCAGAATATATCGGAAATGAACAATTTTCGTTTCTCAATCGAATCAAAAATAATTGTTAATATGTGTTAATATAACCTATGAATTATGAAAGAATACTTGCCTAAACTAATTATTTTTGGATATAACAACATCTCTCGAAATATACATGGCTTATGTAAGCATTAGGAAAAAGTAGTTGAAATATACATGTCCTTTATGTTACTTCTATTACCCCGAGGACTATTTATATAGATTTCAATGATGATATTTGTTATTGTACGATTGATATTTCATTGTTTTGATTTTCGTTGATAAACATAAATATAAGGGGACGTGGTATGAGACAACTATCCACCAACGTTCAAAAATGAAGTGGATGTTAGCAATTACAGTTAAGCGTACGGCCTTCAACAATGAGAAAAAAACATACCGTATAGTCGGCTATGACATGTATAAAAGTCCCCGACATGAATAATATGAAACCAGTCAATTGCTAAAACTAACGGCCTAATTTATAACAGAACACATATGACAGACATTAACTAACGGCAATCACTGAAAACCATGATGCTGACTTAGGACTGGCACATAAAAAATGTGGCTGGGTTAAACATGTTTGTGAGCGCTCAGCCCTCCCCTAACCTTGGACAGTGGTTTTTATATAAGTTAGTGTGTTATTTAAATAATAATGAATAATAAATAATAGTGGGTCTAGGTCAATGTGGTGCTAAATTTGAATTTTGAAATATACATTGCACTCTATAATTAAGTTGTATTCTTACCATTACACACTTCAGCTGATTCATCAGATCTATCTTTACAGTCCGGCCAACCATTACATTGACTTTTTTCATATATGCACTGCATACCATCCTGGCATTTGACCTTATCTTCACCACATTCGAAATCTTAATAATAATCAGAAAATTATTTCCTCGTCTACACTTTTCAACTGATAATCAAATGAATAAAAACACTTTTGTCTACTGCGTCCTAAAGGAAATTATCTTAATTATATAGGTGCTATTAGTCGACAATTGTGTAGCCTTAATTTAAATACATATCAAAATTAAATACATGGAAGAAAAATTATCCTAATGCATGAAACTCTTTACATTGTAGCGTACCAGAAATGAGTGGCTGTTTACAAAATTAAAAAATGTAATAAAAGGAATGTAGTATATCAGTGAATCTTACATCAACCATACACGCACACAACTAACACAAAAAACAAGTGAACACCCGACGACCGTGAGAAATTAAAACAATATGTTTGTTATGAACAAACGATATTGAATGCTATGTTCTTGTAAGAAAAAAGATAGGCACAAAATACCAAATAAGACATTAAAATAAAGTAAAAAAATAACTGACAATGCAATGGCAAAAAATAAAATCAACATCATACAAAACACAGCATAACAAAACTACAGACTGATCAGTACGTACTCTACAAAAGTTAGAGGGGACCTCGGGTGCTCCGGAAGGGAACGCATATTCAGCTTCAGATATGACACGGGTCGTGTTGCTCATGTAAAAGCAAACCCGGCGATGAGTTTTAACTGTAAGGTCACATTGAAATGAAATGTATTCACTTAAAAATAGTAACTTAATGATAATTGTGAAGTATTTGATATTTGATATTCGATATTCAATATCCAACCGGCTGAAGTAACAATCCTTATATCACAATAATTATGAAGAGCTGATCTCACAAAGACAGATGTATAGAAGAAAGATAACAAAGATTGCAAAATCCAAGAAGCAGTTTGATAGAATATTTATCCGGTGAAATACACATGACAAGCTAAAAATATGTAAAAATAAATAGAGTATGTAAAATAATATGAAAGTATGCAAATGAGGATATACAGACCTACACATGTATCTTTACTTTCGTCGGATTCATCATTACAACTAGCATATCCATTACAGAGTTTATACGTTCTTATACACTCTAAACCATCCGCACATTTTACATGATCCGGTGGGCACTGAAAATCTAAAAAAATAAATATTTGATTTGTATCTTTTGTGACTAATACAAAATGGTGAATCTAAGACTATTGCCTTTATATGACAAGGAAACACATTCGCTGACTCTTATACGTGTGTTACATGTTACAAGTTAATCTTAACAAAATTAAGCAATGATATATCATTTTTTTTCAATGTGTTTGAAATACCAAGAAGTTGTTTTAATCATGCAATATGACCATTTCTGGTTAAGTATAGATAACAAAAACAAATAGAATATGAATTGACCATATGTAAAGTATATGAACAATTACCCATCACTATTTTCAATAGTGAAATGTGAAGAAGTAAGAATACTCAAAGATTTCTTATAAAACTAAGTAATCTCCTCAAATATCTCTTAACTCAAATCTCAAAATGGACTCCTATCAATTTAGCCATTTGAAACATGAATATATGTACTGGCGTTATTATGTACGTACGCCATGTACAGAAATTAATAATCTATATAAGCTAAAATTAAAACTCATTAATATTACAAATTTGTCATTAGCATACTTCTTGTGATCATAATGCATAAATGTGTTAGATATCAGTAAAGCAGTATTCAAATTTAAATTAAAGTCTTTTAAATTAGTGTAAAACACAAGTATTATACAGAGCTGACCCCAGAAAGACAGGTGCATAGAAGTAAGATAACAAAGATTGCAAAATCCAAGGAGCAATTATAGGAAGCTTAATTATCCCGTTACATACACAGAACAACCTAAAAATAATGAGTAGGTAAAAAATATAAAAGTATGCTACATGTAGCCATGATACTCAAATTAGGATATACAGACCTGTACACGTCTCTTTACTTTCATCGGACTCATCCTTACAACTTGGATATCCATTACAGAGGTTATTCGTTCTAATACACTGTAAACCATCAGTACATTTTACATGATCCGGTGGGCACTGAAAATCTACAGAAAAATATTTGATTTGTATTATAAGAATAAGAAGATGTGGTTTATTGCCAATGAGACAACTCTCCACCAAACACTAAATGACATATGAGTTAACAACTATATGTTATCGTACGGCCTTCAACAATGAGCAAAACCCATACTGTATAGTGGGCTATAAAGGCCCCAATATGACAAATCTAAATAAATTCAAGCAAGAAACCTAACGGCCTAATTTATGTACACACTATGAACGAAAATAAACGATAAACAGCAACAAACGACAACCAATAATTACAAGCTCCTAACTTGGCGCTGGCATATACAGAATGTGATAGAATTAAACCAGTTTTCTGGCACCCAACCCTTCCCTAACCTGGAACAGTAGAAGTGTAACATTACAGCAGAAGAACAAACTATACAAAACAGTTGAAAATTGCTTAACTTATCAGATCGATGCAAAGCATACAAAACACAGTCCGGAAGTGGCAGGGTATTTATACGACCCTCAACAAAAACGACAATTAGTACAGATCTTGGAGTACTTGCTAGCTAGAAATACGTTTATCGGCAGACAAAATAGCGATTACATTCTCTAACGCTTAATGTTTTGTCGCAGAACAAACAGTCCAAAAACCTCCACATAGGGTCCATGTTCAGGTGTCCTTTCATCTTCTCATCATAATATACTTAAACGTTTCGTTATTGTTAATATGAACATTATTTGTCGGGTTAATGGTCAATGTTTTTCTGTATCATTTGTATATGCAATTGGTTTACCATGTTAATCTTTAAATCGTTCCAATTTAGTGAACCGACCTAATTGTAAACATTCAACAACGTAAGACAGTAAACTTTTTTTTTTTTTTGCATATTATAAATTGTAGTTTGCTAGAATGTTTAACCAATAAAAGGATGTTTGGCTTATATACAATATTTCGAAAAAAACTGTCTTTAAATGATAGCAAATTGATAAGGTTTTAGCTGTTAAATAATTCTTTGATAAATGCTTTGATGAACTGTAGCAGACAGTCTGAGTAGCCCATGTATTTAATATATAATGCAGCTGTGTTTTTACATTCAAACATTGTCTGTAAATTTAATGACTTTGTCTGTTTATGCTCTGTCCCTATATGTGTATGGTCATGAGGAGAATACTACTTTGATGGGTGTGAAAAGTGCGGAAGAGGCAGTCGAAGTGATATAGAAATTTAAGAATGTCAACATTCCAGAGGAATAGAGAATGACAAGTGAATAGACGTGTTTTTGTTTAACCATGTTATAATTGTAAAGTGTATTAATATTAACTTGTATATAATTAGTATGAATATTTAAGCCTACGTTTTATAAACATGTGCTTGTCGAGAACTCTCAAGACACAATACAGAAACAATATTCACATTTTGCACTTAGGAACCAACCTTTGCACATTTCTATATCTTCATCATCACCAGTTTTGCATAATTCTACACCATTACAGCGATCGTTTTGCGAAAAACAAGCAATGCCATCACTACACTTCGTTTTATTAGTTGGACACGTCTGATCTGTTGACATGGTCGAAAAAGTAAGTCGACTTAATAATAACAGTAATGCAATAACGATATTAAGTTTTAAAATAATATTATTATATTAATTATAATTGGTAATATAACAGTTGTAGTAGTAGCAGTCTAATAACTTTATAAACATATTACTGTCTTTACTTTACAGAATTTAATATTTCCTACTTGTCGTTACAAATACTTTCCATGACAGATATGCATGCATTAATATCTAAATGAATGAAATATCATACATCCATTAAATATATTAAAAGTAAGAAAAATAAAGGAACGGCAATTATAAAATGGCGATATTTTTCGAATTTCTTTTTCTTTATAAGAAATCCATACTAATTTCGCATTAATGAAATAATAATGAACCTTCCAATGTTATTCAAATGCGTATCTGTTGCAGTAAAATCTATAGTTTTAATGTTTTTAGTTGCTGACACCATTCTGCTTGGAATTTCATTTGGAACAAAGTTCTTTAAAGACATATATTTCAAATACTGCACAAAAAATATTAAACAAACCGTTACTATGTTCAGATAAAACATAACAGCACAGTATTATGTCATTTTGTTAATTATGTTATGCAGCTATAACTCTTTACTTACTTTTGCACATTTCAGGATCGTCATCTGAACCATCTTTACAGTAGGCGTAGTAATCACAAAGAGTATATTCAGGAAAACAATGTATCCCGTTTTTACATTTCATTTTTCCTTTTTCGCATTCCAAATCTAAATAAAAACAAGCAGCACATGATAAGATAAATGGGTAAACAACGTATGAATATTTCATTACAGAATAGTTAGGTGCAGAATATTGATTAAGCTCCTATGTTGACCGGGCATATTCATATGGCATCAAAACAAGTCTGATATGGATTTTGTTGAGCATGATTTAACGTTCATGTTATCTTTCTAGAATAACAGAATGCTTCTTCTAGTAGTAGCTTGATTAAACAGTAGAGGGCTGCCGTGCTTTATTTATTGTATGTAATATTGTTAAAATTTCTTATATCGATGGATTCTTAAAATAATTTAAGGTCATTAAGTACAAAATATCGAAAGAAAAGAGGGAAAAAAAGAATGCCCTGTTTTGATACACAACATGAATAATACATACACAATGAACAATCATTTTTTTAAATATATAACATATCCCTGTTACAGCTAAACAATTAACATTGGTACCTCTACATACATCCTCGTTTTCATCTTCGCCATTTGAACAAGTATTATATCCATTACAGAACGCATATCTATAAGCACAACCAGAACCGTCTGAACATTCTCTACATTCTCCTGGAGGAATAACGTCCGTCAACCCACCTGTTTATATATTACAATTATCAATTACTACATATCTTAATTTATTATGTGAAATTTCCATGTGTGTGGCAAGCATCAAGCAACGGATGGTTAAAGGTATATATACTTGTTTACTTGACTGTTATATATGACCACGAATATATTCTATTTGTTTTTGAACTAAAATCTAGTCCATATCATCGATTGTGAAATAACCAAATTCTGCTTTTCATCGATGTGTTACTTGCAAGAAGTAACAGTACGTTTGGTACTATTTGCGCTATGCTTTATATGTGTCTTAAATATCTAAGCAGTCTCTTTTTGAGGAGACCTAATTACCTAACGTGCACTAACAGATTCCTCTGGAAATCTGACGAGAAATATATAAATATTCTAATTCCCTTAAATCTAATGTTTTATACGAAAATGTACAGAATCAACTACTTTTTACAAATTCAAACTTCTTTTTTATATTTGTGTTTGTTTACATTAGTAATTTTGTAAACTGTAAATTCATTTATTAGATTTAGTTAATTTTCTTCAAATTTAATAAATGATATCGATTTCACAATCTTATCTTATGTCTATAATGATCAGATTGTTTTACCGGCTTATTATGTGAGAAGCCAAATTTGTTAGGCCCATTTTGTTTTAAGACTAGTTTGTCATTGTCCAGGAATGTTATTGGCCGAGCCATAAAAGATAGAGGATATAGCAGTATTAAACTCGAAATCTACGGTAATGGCCGAATGATCACCCGGTCATCATCTTTTTTTTTTAATATTGATTTAAAATGTTTGCCAAATAAGTTGTACCGATAAAAACTAATGAAGGTCACTATTTCGAAAGCCGTTACTTAAAGCAGCAATGCTTTTCCTAATACTACTAAATGGTCGTTAAAAAATATGTTTTCTTTTCCAGAGTGCATTAGCATTTTATTTCAAGGTACCAGTCCGGTTGTTTGTGGATCAGCTGTTATGGACCAAGGCTACGTATCGAGCCAATACAGCTAACCTCGATTCTATACTACTGTACTTGAACATAATGCATAATTAATAAGAAAACACCCATTTAAAGGGGCATTAGCTGTCAAATCCATGTTCACCGATTTGATTCAAGTTCTCATATTTGATTTATAACATTATAAAAAGTATATCCAAATTATGAAAAGCCTAACATAAACAATTTCAAATGCATGGGATCGATAATATATATCAGCATTTCGTGTGTGTTTTAGTCTAGACGCCATCTTATTAACCACCGAGGTGACCTCCGAAGTCTGTCGACGGTAAAATGACCCGAAATAAACATAAATATAGATATAAATAGATATCAATTGTTTTTTTGTTAGGTTTGTTTGATTTCATATTATAGGTTAAAAATATATGTTAATCATCGTGTTACCTGTATACGAATGAGTTTTTGTGAATCGAATCAGTAAATCAAATGGTTTTCCATACATTTGCCATAGTTTCACTTTCAATGTTGACATTATTTTCAATTAATAACTGAACACGCCTAATTCATGCGTAACCCATCTCTAGCTAAGGAGTTAAATGGAAGGTCTCATGAATACGGATTAAATTAAGTCGAAATATTTATTTGGCAGTGAATAATTTATCAGCTTATTTTGACAAACTTGAAACAAACTGGCTGCTAAAAGCGAATTTTTTTTGTTCACTATTTCACTTTCATTAATAGTTGAACAAAAAAAATCATATTTTAAATATTTAGTAAATCTCGTAGCTAATGCCCCTGTAATAACACCATAATATATATTTATACAATTTGTACAAATCTGTTTTATCCAAATGATTATAAATTTTTATATGAGATGATTAACGACAAAGCAGATTTTTACCTTGCATTTAAAACAAAAACGTCGAATACACGTTTCGTGCTTCGTGAATAATGATAAAGCAAATCCCAGTGTTTGAAATTAATACATATATTACGATACTGTTGCCAGGTCATTAAAGATTGCATATTTTGGTATTAATATTGATTCACTTATAGGGTCTTTGCATCGGAACTAAACACATTTATTCTAAAACCAGTTGTTGGCATGATACGGGTTATGTTCTTATCATATATTTTATGATGGTATGATACTAAGGGATTGTGCTCGATTTTCATATGATGAGGACATAATCTTTCAATCAGTTTAATTGAGATCTGGAGCTGGCATGTCAGTAACTTCTAGTAGTCCTTTGTTAATTAATGTATCATTACCAATATGTTTAGTTTCTTTTGTTACCTATTCTGACATCGGACTCGGACTTCATTTAAACTGAGTATTACTTTGCACATTGCTGTGTGTTTGTTTTTTTCTACATTGGCTAGAGGTATAAGAAGAGGGTTGAGATCTCACAAAACATGATTAACCCCGCAGCATGTTTGCGCCTGTCACAAGTCAGGAGCCTTTGTTAGTCTAGTATGATTTTTAATTTTAGTTCATTTATATGTTTTGGAGTTTAGTATGACGTCCATTATCACTAAACTAGTACGCTTTTTTGTTAAGGGGCCAGCTGAAGCACGCCTCCGGGTGCAGGATTTTCTCGCTGTGTTGAAGACCCATTGGTGGCCTTCGGCTGTTTTCTGCTCTTTGGTCAGGTTGTTGTCTCTTTGAAACATTCCTCATTTCCATTCTCAATTTTATTGTAAATTAAGCAGCTATCAATATAGAATTTTATTAACCAATGACTAAAAATACATTATAAATTGTCCATTTTATACGATTCATTGTATCCCAGAGATGTTCATTAGTACAAGTCTTTTACAAAAAAGCCAGTTAAAACAGATTCTTACTGGCCTTAATACAAGATTTGTTTTTTGGTTCAAAAAGGTGTAGGAAAATGAATAAATGTATTACGCAAAATATTAGATTTCAACACATTTGATGTTAGAGTTGGTTTTATTTTTCATATGTTATATTATTTCTTTGAGGTGTGAATATCCAGAACTGTCAACAATAAAAGATTATGTCTCTGACGGTGCAGACTGAAGTGAAAGTAATTTGTAGGGTTGGCAATCTTGGATATGCACTGCTCTTTTACATGTCTTACTGTAGCATCAAATAATTTGTCAAAACAATTAAGCCAGAGAATTATTTTGACTTAAAATGCCACATCTGATCTCCTATGTACAACAAATTAAGACTCTTTCTGTAAAGTATTGGTGTCGCGGAAACGGCCGTTTGTGAATGCTTGCCTCGGCAGCAGATGGATTTCAGATATCTTTTTCTTTGTCACTCCAGTCCACAGACCAGTTCTTACCTGGAAGTTGTGTCATTTTTGTTTTCACACGTCAGTAACGTCATTTTGATGGGAGATGACTCGTGTAAAAATCGAGAGGCTCAAAGGTTTTTTTTTTTTTCGGTGAATAAAATGGTACTTCATCGCACATCATTTCTTCTAAGTATTATTCGACATTTATTGTATTAGAATGATAATTAACGCAAATAGTTCATATTGATCCTGTATGAGTCTTTCGACTGTCGTGTTTATCATCAGTCAGCTTACCTCGACCCAATACGACTGTACTTGAACATAATACAGTTATATTATAAAAACACACATTTAAGTGCAAGCTCGCATATATACAAGTATACTTTACCTGTTATTGCAGTCAAAAACAACAATACAAAGAAAGGATAATTTTCCATTGCCCTGTGAAAAATAAGTTTATAAATGTTACATCGTTTTCCGTTCTCGGTTAAATGTTAAAAACTATATTTTTCCAAAATGAACATATGGATGAAATTTACGCATTGTTTGATATTAAAACTGTTTCACATACAAAGCTTGAAGCCCAAATCCCGATAGCGTAGTACGTAAAAAATATGCATACAAGTTGATGTGGACTTTTATAGTTTATGGATGTTGGCTGCCCTGTGTCAAAATAACAAGCCTTTACAAAAACTGTTGTACATGGATAAAATATAGATAATATAACTAAATTACCAGAAAAAAATAAAAGGTCCATTTTTTTATTTGTTTTTACACACAAGCCATTGCGAATTTTGCAATAAATAGTTCTCTCAATACTTTTATAATGAATGAAAACTTTATTGTAGGAAGCACTAAATATGTTATAGCAACGAAAACATATTTACAACATGGTAAATGATAAACAGATTAGACCAATACATTAAAAGCCTAAAAAGAACACAAATAACATTAACTATTTTACGAAATGTTCCTTTGATCTTACGGACTGATTATTTCCTTTCTCAGCACAGTAGAGTGATATGAAAAATTATCGCTAGAAACTAAAGACGCATGTGCCGTTTTCAATGTCAACATCAACGTCGTCATAGGCAAAATAGCGATCAACAGATTATTATTGGTCATTTCACCTCGATTGTTTTTCTCACTTTCGCCTTACCGTTTGAAGCGAGAAAATCAATCTCGTTGAGATGACCAACAATAATCTGTAAGTAACAAAATGTAATCTCATTTACCCCGCAAATTGTATATAAGTACACAATTTCCTTTATACGTAAAGCAAACATTAATTTGAATAAATATTGTAATTAAGTAATGGTTGGCCAAGAACAATATAACTTTTGTCAAATATTTAGGCCTAGATGATCTATAGGCAGGGCTTACTAATAAAAACATTTAACATTGTTACATTTTTTGCCAAATATAAATTAATTCTCATCGATAGAATAAGAGGATTCCGAATATCTGACAAATGTCAATAAACAAGAACAGCAAACATCCTTAATATAACAACATTAGGTAAGAATTCATAAAATATGAACATGCATGTAATCAAATCGGTTTCACATAAGAGAAAACTTTATATACAATAAGATCATGAAAAAATAGGAGTAAGCGGGCCAAATTTGTTATGGTACTTCGTCGATAAAAATCAGAGGATTCCTAATATCTGACAAAAAGTAACATACAAGAACAGCGAACACCTTTAAAATCAAAACATTAGGTAAGAATTCATAAAAAAAAGCATGTATGTTATCAAATCGGAACACATGGAGCAACACTTTATACAAGTTTTTAGAGATGAAACCGTTTACTCTTTACTCCTTCAGGGATTTACGGTTTATTCGGATTTTGTTGGCCGATAAGTAGAAAATGAAGTTGACACTTTTAAATTTGTGTCGAGCCAATTAATGATCCTTTTACATCCAACTCAAGTGTTCTGTGATGTATGTTTGTGTTATTGAAATGATTTGATTTGATTTTTGGTGTTTTAACGCCACGTTTAAGCACCGCTTTTGGGCTATTTCGTGGCGGCCAGTTTTTATTGGTGGAGGAAGCCGGAGTGCCCGGAGAAAACCACCGACCTTCGATAGGAAAACTGACCGTCCTAGTGAATTAAGATTGGAGTCGAGTGCACCCGCACGAGCGGGGTTTGAACTCACAACCTCAGTGATGACTGGCTAGTGATTTCAGTAGTAACTACTTAGACCACTCGGCCACCGAGGCCCCGTTATTGAAATGAAGCACAATGATACATCGTCATATGGTATTGACTATTTAATAACATTTACCAACTTATGACATAAATTAGTTGGCTTTTTTCATCCATGTGTCACCCTTAAATATAAATTAATTGATGTTTGCTGAACGTCCAGTGTCATAAATTCAAAGCATTAGTTGACTTAAAAATAATGAAAATAATATTTACTTACACATATGTAGAATAGAAGCTTACTTTCGAGAAGTGAATATTCAAGTAAATCACAAGGCGAGTGTGAAAGAAACGAATTTAAATGTTTACAATTAAATACTGACATTTCAAAAAAACTGTCGATTAACCCTGTTTGAAACACTTATCTCTTTATAAAACATTTACCTTCATTAAATCATTATCCGCCTTTCTAAAAAAAAGTAACATTGAACTTTCACATTTTCAATTACACCTACATGTATGATGACCATTCTAAAAAAAATATTGATTTAATTGACGATTCGGAAAAAATAGTTCTACACAGAAATAGCCTGGGGTAATGTAAAATGATACTAGTACAAATTTATCACCATTGATTTGGCTGTGCATTATATAACTGCAATTTAAATATGTGGAAACATCATGATCGTGTGCATTGTATTTTTAACTGTTTATATTATAGAAAAAAAAATGTCAGTTTAACATACAATGATATAAAGCAGCTTAGTGATAATTTCGGTAACTGTATGTTATATTCTGGCAGGATGATGTATATATATATTGACCTTTATCATATATTTAGTACTAAATACAGCAATTTTGTATATCTAATAAAGGTTTTTTTTCCAGTCTGTATCACCTACTTTGCATCGCATACCCCGTATCGCATGGCTAAACCCGTATCGAATACCCCATATCGTATAGCTTAACCCGTATCGCATACCGTGCGTGACGTCATATATCAAATGACGTCAAAGTTTGACATATGACGCCCAGTTGCTGTATTTCCTGGCATGATACGAAATGTAACCTCATTTAGTTAGAATTTCTGAAAAATACTTGCAAGAGAAAATGGGTCATTCATGACATTGATTCAGACTAGAAATATTCATTTTGGAAAATGATCAAAAGACCCATTCTCTCTTCACTAGTTTTTTTTTTTTTTTTTTATTTTATTTAAACGTACATGTACATGTATGTGTGTTAATTTTTAGTGCAATCGAACTGAGATAATAACAATTAGAAGTCTATAGATTACTCTTCTAAAGCATTTGTATTAATTATCAATACCTCATTTATGTGCATTGATACGTTTCCTAAATCAAGGGTTTGAATAGCAAATTGTTCACTTCAAAATCCAAATTATTTTGAATAATGCAAATATTAAAAGTGGTTTAAAAACAAATTACATATGCATGTATTAATATGAGGTTCCAAATGAGAAAAGGGAAATTTATTAATCACATGCATCCAAAAAAGGGTAGGGAAGTAATTTTGACACCAAATACTTGCAAAACGTAATGATTCATATATGCCAGAATATACTAGCAGTTCCTATGATGGATTATTTTAACAAATGACCAGATTTCTCTGTTAGTTCATGTTTTAAACCTAGTGTAGTTGTTATTTTGTTTTTGATGTAATATGATCTTTGTTGTGAAATTATTGTTTTGATAGTCAGATTAAAAATAAAATGGTGTTATATTAATATTTATTCATTAGTACCAGAGTTTCATTTGTGGAAATTCCAAGTTTAATGTTTTTAGTTCTAATAAATGATGGGGTTTCACAAGCTTCAGAAATAATCATGGTTTTCAGTATATATATACTTCCTGGAAAAACACATGTTAGTAAAGTTTTAACATCAAGCATTATTGAAGAAATTTTAGTTTTCGAAGTATACACATATTTGGTACAGCAAAATTGCAACCCTGTCGAAAATGTGGAGTTCATACATATATATAGGAATCCCTCTGTTTGTCTGTCCATAATCTTTGAATTGATGATACTTGGTAACTTGTTGTCCACATTTATGTATACAAATGAGATCAGATTGCAGTATAATGGCTAAACTTAACAACACATATTGGTAAGGTGAGTTGTATTCTACAGGAGGGAACTGCTGACAGTATCGTTAGTGAATGCATTTAAATACATGGTCTTAAAATATATTACTTGCCAATTTCATAGCTCTATATTGAGCATGTAATAAGGTTATAAGGGACAATATGAGTTCGATGTCTCGTCCAGCATGAACGATCCCGAATTTTGTTATGACTATCACGAAACGGGATATTAGGCAAATAAGGAAGTCTCTAAAAATACAAGTCAGCTAGAAAAATACAGGTAACCATAATTTTCTTGTCTCTCTTATATTTTCGGACGATTTTAAAAAAGGATGTCCCATGAATCTGATTCTATTAAAATATATAATAAACAAAATAATACATGGCAAAATCCATATCGCATGATGTATCATCACTCGACCAATATCAGCCCTCGGGACCTTCGGCCCTCGGGACTAATGTGATACAGCATACGATACGGATTTTGCCATGTATTATTCTATATTTATTTGAATTTATTCCGTAATTTTAATTTGGCTTCGCACCTGTTTTGAATTGAGCGCTATTGATGATTCATATAGTAGATGAAATAATCGTGTGGCCTGTCACAATGTAAGCCAATTATTTATAATGAGTTTTTATATCTGGTCTATAATTCTTCTTTAAACGTGAACTTCTGGTATTATTGACGTGATCTTCTGGTATTATTGACGTGATCTTCTGGTATTATTGACAAATATGTATTGGAACTTTGAAAAGAAAAACTGTATCTGTAATAGTTTGCGTTTTGTTCATAATTAATAGTTTGTCCTTAGAATAAATGGATAACCCAAATGCAATGCAAATACCCTAATATATGTTGCTTCCATATTTCTGTTAAAAGACCTGATCTATAGGCATATAACAACTATGTACCAGTCGGTTGAGATATTCGAGCGTTTAATTTTGTCTTTGTAATGGACGTTTCCTTAATGAAATCATTTCAGAATTCATTTTTTTAAATAAATTTTGAGTTGCAGTAATAAATAATGCAGTAGTCTTGTACGTACGATACAAAAGGAAAATGTTCGATGAATTATAAGTTCGTTTAAAGTTGTTAACTGCTTGTTAAAAGGGTAAAACATGTATGTATTGTGCATTATAATCATTTCTGTATTAGCAGTTTTCATTGTTCCCTGTGCATAGGTAGACCAAGAATTAAAAGTTCTATGGTATCCCGTTCTATATAGATTATATATGATGCTCGTATTAAAGTATTCTATGTTAATTTAGATTCAGTGAAAATTAATCCTTTATTTTCCTACCAATGATTAACCACGATTGTATTATTTTAAAAACGAGTTCTTCGTTAAAATACGTAAATTTATACACTTACTTGTAATTTGACTTTGAATAGCTAATGTTCGGGTAATTATCTAGTGAAAGTAAAAAAAAAACTTACAATTTTACATTGAATATCTGACATTTCAAAATCTATTAGTATACTGAAGTTTAAAATGCTAACTATCCCTTTATTAGCCAATTACCCTCATTAAACTGTTATACGCCTTGTTAGACAAGACGAATGTATGATTACTGAACCTAACCATTGTTCATTTTACCTATGATTATCATTTTGAAAATATATTTAAAATCACAGACAGTTAATTAAACAAATGTTATCACTAGATAGGAAAACTGTGAGAGTTCTGTCATATACTATGTATTTCTGTGTAGAGTTGTTGGGTGTGTGTTTTTCTTCTTTTTTTTTGGATTATTCAAAAATAGTTTTTCTATAAGGTAAATGTAAGGATATGTGACAAAACAAATCATAACAAATAAAAATAGACATACATCTACAGAATTCAATTATATTTTGTTAATCTTTAGCATTCAATTTTACAATAAATCTGTTGATAAGTAAAATGACAGATGCAAAAAAATAATTTCGAAATTCAAATACGATTTTGCCTTTTCACTTACTTTATCTCATTAGCATGCGTTTTTGAACCAGTACAACTTGGCATCTAATATATTTTTTTGGACCTTAGGTACACATTTACCTCGAAATATTATCTTATCATTGAAAACTTGTTGTAAGTTGATGAAGAAAAAAAGATTCAGACAATGAATCTTTACTATGATAACACAATGGTGAATAATACATAAACTTAAATAAATTAATCAGAGTTAATAAGTTGATGAACAAACAGACACAACCATAATCATTATCTACTGTTACACAAAACGAAACCCGTTAAAGTTTTAGGTTTATAATTCAATCAACTATTTATTATGAAGAACCAAACAAACTCAAATGCCTTTATTATAAATTGTTAAATATCTAAATATTTGCACACAAGGAAGCTATTAAACCAAGAGTGCCAAGTGTGAAGTTGAAATCATTCCTTCAAAAAATTACGGACCCTATTACGAGTTGGTTCAACGTTATATAATATATTTTCACTGATGACGACGGATATATTCCTATTGTCGTAACTGAAATCCCGTCCTTTATAGCTCGAATGGGACCTACCAAATTAGACTTATCACAGGGTTTGAACTTACATGAGTCACACGACGGGTGTCACATGTGGAGCAGGATTACCCTTCCGGAGCATCTGAGATCACCCCAGTTTTTATTGTCTACAATATTTCATCTGCATCAATTTACAGTGTCAATAATTCCTCTTTTAATTTACAAAATCTGAACTGTCACAAGAATCTGATGTTTCATTTCTACAGATAGTTTGTATCCTCATCGACCAAAAGTTGCCATATTTGTACTTTGTTATAACAATTGTATAGGCAAATTATAAATCAGTAAATTTGTCAACTCAGCATGGATTGTATATCAAAAATGACAGCAATATCAGTACATGATGAATGGAAAAGTTTAATCGCATCAATTTACAAGGCAGTTTTCGTATCTCAAGATATTTGACCGCATCAACTAAAACTGACCATTTTGTTATTTATTAAGCAAATCATATATCTACATTTACATGATATATATTGTAAGAAAGATAAATAAAAAAAAAATGTTAACGCAGGATGGATTTTAACATACAACTTGACATCAATATTGTTACACAATGACTACAAAATATTGTTTAATTTGACATTAATCAAGAGTGCAAATATGTCCACGTTGTATAAAAAATACTTAGCCTTAACTAAGAATCTATAAGTTCTATATCTCAGAGTGATTTGTATTATAAAAACTAGAACACACACGCGACATCGCGGGTCCGTGA